GCTTGCCTTCCAGCGCCGCTTGCGCTCCGGAGCGCTGGCTCTGCTGGCGCTAAGGTGAGTAGAGCTGTCCGGCTCGTCGGGTGGTTCAAGTGGCAGGGCTCTCTGACCTGGCCCCCGGGGGGGACGCCCCAGACTTGGTCCTGCCAAAGCGTCCGGGTGGCGGCGAGTGGGACAGCGGGGCCGTCCGGGCCTCGGGTGGCCACAGCTGCTGGGTCCTTCTCGCACTCTGCGGCCCGCGGCCCCTGGGACCTGAGAACCCTGATACCGGGTCCGTGAAATCCCTGCTGCTGGGCTCACTGCTTCCCAACTGTAACGATCTCAGTGGCTGGCTAACTCGGGCGAAACGGCGTGTGTTTTGCCTAAGACTCTGCCAGTGTTTATTACCACTGAGCTGAGAAAATAGCCTTTTACAAATGCTTTTAATATGTAGCTTATAGTTCTCTCATCTCCAGCGTTAGGAAATTGGAATGCGTATTCTACTAAATTGAGTACGGGCAAGTCAGTCTAAGGGACTCCTTTCTTTCAAAATGTTCCTTAATATGTGTGGAATTTTGTTGAGAGGTTTTTGATATTTTTGTTTTGTTTTTAATAAGATAGATTGGTGTTCACCTGTCAGGAAGCTCGTGTGTAGGTGCAGCTGTATACAGCTGATATTAAGTAATACTATTTGCCTTAACTACGTGTAAGAGGTAGTATAACTATACAAGAGGTAGTTTGCTTAACTAGGTTAAGATGTAGTAAAGTGAAATGGAGTAAGAAAATTACCTTGTTAAAGGCTGTGTATGACCCGTGAATGCATACTGCAAAACTATGAGCATTGTTGATGCTTTATTGTCATTATTGGCAGTTTTAGGATTTCATTTGTTTAGATTTTATCTCCCAAACAGCCTTTGTAGCAATTTTAACAGAGTTTAATGGTGTTCTTGAGGCAGCCAATCCCAGCTAGAACATTCAGAAGGAAAGCCGTCAAGTTACAGGGAATCTCTTACTGAATCTTGCCTCAGTGAGTGTGGTTTTGCATTGTAGGGCGGCGGTGCACAGGCTTTGCAGTCAGTTCACCTGCGATGGAACTATGGCATGTTACCCTCCGAGAAACTCAGTTTCCTCCTCTGCAAAACGGGCTACATATGTCTATTGCAATGCACGATTGTAAAGATTAGACATCCTTGTGGCATGTAGCAAGCTTATAGGCTCTATCCGTGGTGTTGACATAGGTGGATGGAAAATCAGCCTTGCAATGTTCTTCCACATGTCATCAGATATTAGAAGGCTTACTTTAAAATTTTATTTTAAGTTCCTGGATACATGTGCAGAATATGCCGGTTTGTTACATAGGTAAACTTGTGCCTTGGTGATTTACTGCACCTATCAACCCATCACCTAGGTATTAGAAAGGGTTACTTTTAGTTATTGTGCTAGATGCAGGTATGCAAGCGTGAAGAAAACAACACAGTCCCTGCCCTCAGGATTTCTAAATAAGTTTCTGAAGAGTTTATTTGCAGGCTTTTTGGCTTTATTGACAATAAACAGGTGCAACGATAAATATTTAAGTGACAAATTGTGAGGAGTCCTACGAAGGAAAAACAAACAGCCAAGTTCCTCTGAAAGAACACCAGGGGAGTACTTTGGGATAGGGAAGTGGTTTGTTTTTTTTTTTAAGACCGAGTCTCTGTCGCCCAGGCTGGAGTGCAGTGGTGCGATCTCGGTTTACTGCAAGCTCTGCCTCCCAGCCTCAAGCGGTTCTCCTGCCTCAGCCTCCCGAGTGGCTGGGATTACGGGCACCTGCCACCACACCCAGCTAATTTTTGTATTTTTAGTAGAGATGGGGTTTTGTCAAGTTGGCCAGTCTGTTCTCAAACTCCTCACCTCAGGTGATCCACCCTCCTCGGCCTCCCAGAGTGCTGGGATTACAGGTGTGAGCCACCGCGGCTGGCCTCGGGAGGTGATTTTTATGTTGAAATCTGGAGAATGATGGGACATTGCTTTCTAGGCTAAGAGGAGAGCAGCAAGTGCTGTTAGGGGTTTGGTAGCTTTAAGGATTGGAAAAACCCAGAAGCTTGGTGAGAAGCCAAGCAGAGTTGCTGGAGAAGTGGGTGGGGGCAGATGGTGAGGCACCCTCAAGGCCTGGTATGGGTTTGATTTTCTGAATAAGAGGTTTCTGAAGGGTTTATTTAGTAAGATGTGTGCCGGAAAGAGTGAGATGTAATTGGATGTACATTTTTAAAGGCCCACTGCTGGGATTAATGAATTGGAAGTGACTAGAGTGGACACAGGGAGACCACTAATACAGTTGGCCAGGCAGGAAATGACAGTGGCTTGTGGTTTTGGCAGATGGAGAGATTTGGATGGATTTGAGATGTCTTTGGGAGATGGAAGCCACTAGCCTTGTGATAGATTGGAGGTGGTCAGAATATGAGAGGATGGAATCATTCATGACTTCCTGCTGGTGGATGGAGGGGTGGGTCATTTATTGAGATGGGAAAAACTATGGAGATTTGGATTGATGATGAAAATGGAAAGCTCTTTGAGTGTGTTAAGTTTGAGATGGTTGTGAGACATCTCAACTGCTAACAGTTCACTAGTTCAGTGAATAATTACCTAAAAAGTTTCATTTTCTTCACAGAATCATTGATGTTATTTGTAGTCTATTTCCCTTTGCTTTACAGATAGGAGAATTAAGATGTGGAAAGATATATCTTGTACAAAGTCACATAATATATCTCATAAAATAGGTGAGTAGGTGGAATAAATGTGGGAAAGTATTGGATCCTTATGTTGCTTTGGAAATAGTTAATATTTCATACTTTGCCTTTTTATATAAAATGGCAAGTGCTAGCTCATTAGCTAGGAATTAGAATTTGGAAATAATAAAATATAACCAGAAAATTACAGAACTCTTGTTTATTGAAAGCTTATGTTGCTGCATTTTGTACTAATTTGGTATTAATTCCCAGTGAAAATCACTTTCCTTAAGAAAAAAAAAAAAATATTGAAAGGTACTTTCCAAGAGAGAGTTGGGAAAAAGTGCTGAGGAAAACAGTCAAATCTTTAAGCAAAGCTCAACTTCTTTGTAGTTGTTTCAGCATTTCCTTAGTATCCTGTGGAATCTTGTGAGTCAGTGTCTGTAAAGAACCCAAACTTTGAAATTCATTGGACCTGGCATCAAACCCTTGCTTTTATCCCTTGTGAACGGTTTTGACCTTGGACAAATTACTGAAGCCTTTAGTTTGTTTCTTTTTGTGTTAACTGATGGCGAAGTTTGTTTTAGCTCTGTGCCTAGTGGATAAAATGGCAAATGTTACTTGTGTTGTTGCCCTTGTCAATTTTGGAGCTAGAAGAGAATTTATAATAATCTGCCCTGGACTCAGGCCTGTAAACCAGTACATTAGTTGCTATCTCCTTCCTATATATTAGGCAACTGGAGACCCAGAGACATTGTAGTATTATAGAATAATACAAGATTCTTGTTTCCGAGTGCAGTATTTCTTCTTTCATTGAAATAATTTAAAATAATGAAACTGTGTGGCCCTGGATCTATTTATTTGATGCCTCTGATAATCCATAAAGCTAAAAACAAAGAGGAGAGGCACAGTGGCTCACACCTGTAATCCCAGCATTTGGGGAGGCTGAGGTGGGAGGATTGCTTGAACTCAGGAGTTTGAGACTAGCCTGGGCAACACAGTGAGACCCCCATCTCTAAAACAAATAAAACAATTTGCTGAGTGTGGTGGTGCTGCCTATGGTAACGGCTGCTTGGGAGGCTGAGGTGAGAGGATCACTTGAGCACAGAAGTTGAGGCTACAGTGAGCTATGATTGAGCCACTGCAGCCTAGCCTGGGCAACAGAGTGAGACCCTGTCTCTAAAAACAAAATAAGAAGAAAGAAAAGAATAAAGAGATAAAGAAAAAAATCAGAATATAGGACAATATTTACATACTAGGAAGTGAAGAAAATGAAGCTATTAATGCTCTAGATATAAATAATATATATTTTAATATTTTTGAAGTACCTTAAGCTAAATACAAAATGAGGTAGTTCATAAAAGAAATGAGGTTTGCTGCATTTGATTTTTAAGCTTCTCCTTTGGTTGCATGTTATGAAACTGGTCACTGTTTTTCTTAGACAAGGGTTCCTATCTCAAGTGCAAAAACTATTTTTTCCATTAGGACTATTTCTAATAAATAATAAATATTGTTTAATCAGAGTATTTTTATTAAATTGTTATTCATTTTAATCTCCTCCTAAATATGTGTGACAATTTTAGTTGTTATGAAAATAAAATGTAGGATTGAATGTATTAATATAATTATCTTTTTCAGTGTCTTCAAGTAGCTCTGGGTGCTAACTGGTTTATGTGGCAATGCTTGTAAAAAATCTTATAATGAATAAATTTTCTTGTTCTCTTTATAGAAATGGACCAATTTTGACAAGATATAGTACTGCAGTGTGCCTGATGGGATATATTCAGTCATGGCGTCCGAACTTTGTAAGACGATCTCTGTGGCAAGGCTGGAAAAGCACAAGAATTTGTTCTTAAATTATAGGAATCTGCACCATTTTCCATTGGAGTTACTGAAAGATGAGGGACTGCAGTACTTGGAGAGACTCTATATGAAAAGGAACTCCCTGACAACCTTGGTACAGTATTATATTACACTACAAAAAATTATTTATACGTGTGGTCCTGATCAAGATACATTTACATACCCTAAGGCATTCAGACCAAGACTTATATCCCCTGTTGTTATATATACGGTTAATATAAATGCACACACAGGGGTTTCTCATTGGCTATGAATTTGTTATCCAAGTTCGTGCAGTTATGAGGTTGCAAGGGAAGTTGTGAAGGAAAGCAAAATATTCACTCATGTATGACTTATCAAATTAGTACCCATTCAAAAACCTGTCTTCATTGAGCATGTGCTTCTGTCCTGACTTGTAATTTGTTTGTATGTTAAGCTTCTCAGGTGATTCTTGGATATTACAGCATTCACTAGACCAGTTAAAAAGTAAACAAGAGAAAGACCAACAGTGCTTTTGAGATACAGGTATTAAAGGGAGAATGATTTGAAAATTAAAGCATTAAGAGAGGCACTAGGGAAGCTTAATGTAACTTTTGAGTGTTTTGAAAACAAAACCTTTATGATTGGCCTGTGAAAATCAAATGACTTTGAATTGGGCTAGCATACAATTTTTTGGAAAAAATTTTGCCACAAAGGCAACATTTAATTTGCTCTTTTTATGTTCTAAGAATAAGCACATAGTTTTTATTATAATCTGAATTGTATTACATATAAGATAAACTAAAAGTTTTTCAAAAGAATGTCCAAATCAAGCTTTTTATTCCCACTATTTATTGTAAAACTTGGACTCTGTATTAAATGGATTTACTTTGTATGGCCTTTTCTGGTTATCACTTAACCTTATTTGAATCTTGTACTTGAATTCTAGTTCTTACTCATTTTAGATGATTTATGAAATCTTACTACTTTGTGAATTCACCCATTCTTCATTCCCTTCGCTCTATTGGACTTTGCTAAATATCTGGAAAGTGTATCTTATTGGCTTCATGTACATGGCATGTTTTCCTGGAAAAGTTTTATTTAATCTGTGTACAATGCTTATAGTGGGTAGAAAGCATTGTAAAATTAGTTTATCTTTGCTCTGTCTGGAAGTAAATAGATAAGTATGTTTTGTTCTTTTGTGATTAGCATATTGGCATATATGTTGAATGCCTACTTATATTTCTGAAATTAGATTTTTCAGTTTTCCAACTTGGAAAATCTATATGCAGTTATAGGAATCCTTTTTTGCAAAGTCATCATCTCATGATATGAAACCATATTAGTATTTTTTTAGCCCTTTAATGAGAAGTGGTATAAGAAATATTTTGACAAGGATTATAGCCTAGATTTTCCCATGTTCGCTCTTTATGTATAAAGAAAAATTTGTGAGTGGATTACTTATTAACTATCTACCATAGCCCAATGGGGTAGACTTTGTTCAGAGAATTGACCTTTGCTTATAAAAGTTAAATTTGTGGGCAGACCATGCGGCTGGAGGTGTGACTATCAGCCCAGGAGTGAGAGGGTGGAGGCAGCTCTTGCAATCGAAAGGGACTTGAGACTCACCAGCCACACGCCATGAAGGCCCTGTGGGTGCTGGGCCTCTGCCGTGTCCTGCTGACCTTCGGGTCGGTCAGAGCTGATGATGAAGTTGATGTGGATGGTACAGTAGAAGAGGATCTGGGTAAAAGTAGAGAAGATTCAAGGACAGATGATGAAGTAGTACAGAGAGAGGAAGAAGCTATTCAGTTGAATGAATTAAATGCATCATAAATAAGAGTCCGAAAAGTTTGCCTTCCAAGCTGAAGTTAACAGAATGATGAAACTTATCATCAATTTGTTGTATGAAAATAAAGAGATTTTCCTGAGAGAACTGATTCTGAGGCTTTAGATAAGATAAGGCTAATATCACTGACTGATGAAAATGCTCTTTCTGGAAATGAGAAACTAACAGTCAAAATTAAGTGCGATAAGGTGAAGAATCTGCTGTGTGTCACAGACACTGGTGTAGGAATGACCAGAGAAGAGTTGGTTAAAAACTTTGGTACCATTGCCACATCTGAGACAAACAAGTTTTTAAACAAAATGACTGAAGCACAGGAAGATAGCCAGTCAACTTCCTGAACTGATTGGCCAGTTTGGCGTCAGTTTCTATTCCACCTTCCTTGTAGCAGATAAGGTTATTGTCACTTCAAAACACAACAATGATACCCAGGACATCTGGGAGTCCAACTCCAGTGAATATTCTGTAATTGCTGACTCAAGAGGAGACATTCTAGGATGGGGAACAACAATTACCCTTGTCTTAAAAGAAAAAGCATTTGATTACCTTGAATTGGATACAATTAAAAATCTTGTCAAAAATATTCACAGTTCGTAAACCTTCCTATTTATGTATGGGGCAGCAAGACTGAAACTGTTGAGGAGCCCATGAAGGAAGAAGCAGCAGCAAAAGAAGAGAAAGAAGAATCTTATGATGAAGCTGTAGTAGAGGAAGAAGAAGAAGGAAGAAGAAGAAGGAGAAGAAGGAAGAAGAAGGAAGAAGAAGGAGAAGAGGAGGAGAAAAGAAACCAAAGACTAAAAACGTTGAAAAAACTGTCTGTGAATGGGAACTTATGAATGATATCAAACCAATATGGCAGAGACCATTCAAAGAAGTAGAAGATGAATACAAAGCTTTCTGCAAATCATTTTCAAAGGGAAGTGATGACACTGTGGCTTATATTCACTTTACTGCTGAAGGGGAAGTTACCTTCAAATCAATTTCATTTGTACCCACATTTGTTCCACGTGGCCTATTTGACGAATATGGATCTAAAAAGAGCAATTACATTAAGCTCTATGTGCGCTGCGTATTCATCACAGATGACTTCCATGATATGATGCCTAAGTACGTTAATTTTGTCAAGGGTGTGGTGGACTCAGATGGTCTCCCTTTGAATGTTTCGTGCAAGGCTGTTCAGCAACATAAACTGCTTAAGGTGATTAGGAAGAAACTTGTCCGTAAAACTCTGCACATGATCAAGATTGCTGATGAGAAATATGATACTTTTTGGAAAGAATTTGGTACCAACATTAAGCTTGGCGTGATTGAAGACCACTTGAATCGAACACGTCTTGCAAAACTTCTTAGGTTCCAGTTTTCTCATCATCCAACTGACATTGCTAGCCTACACCAGTATGTGGAAAGAATGAAGGAGAAACAAGACAAAATCTACCTCATGGCTGATCCAGCAGAAAAGAGGCTGAATCTTCTCCATTTGTTTAGCGACTTCTGAAAAAGGGCTATGAAGTTATTTACCTCACAGAACCTGTAGATGAATACTGCATTCAGGCCCTTCCCGAATTTGATGGGAAGAGGTTCCAGAATGTTGCCAAGGAACGAGTGAAGTTTGATGAAAGTGAGAAAACTAAGGAGAGTCATGAAGCAGTTGAGAAAGAATTTGAGCCTCTGCTCAATTGGATGAAAGATAAAGCCCTTAAGGACAAGATTGAAAAGGCTGTGGTATCTCAGTGCCTGACAGAATCTCCATGTGCTTTGGTGGCCAGCCAGTACGGGTGGTCTGGCAACATGGAGAGAATCATGAAAGCACAAGCGTACCAAACGGGCAAGGACATCTCTACAAATTACCATGCAAGTCAGAAGAAAACATTTGAAATTAATCCCAGACATCCGCTGATCAGAGACCTGCTTCAACGAATTAAGGAAGATGAAGATGATAAAACAGTTTTGGATCTTGCTGTGGTTTTGTTTGAAACAGTAATGTTCCAGTCAGGATATCTTTTACCAGACACTAAAGCATATGGACATAGGATAGAAAGAATGCCTCGCCTCAGTTTGAACATTGATCCTGATGCAAAGATGGAAGAACCCAAAGAAGAACCTGAGGAGACAACAGAAGACGCAGAGCAAGACGAAGACAAAGAAATGGATGTGGGAACAGATGAAGAAGAACAAGAAACAGCAAAGGAATCTACAGCTGAAAAAGATGAATTGTAAATTATACTCTCACTGTTTGGATCCTGTGTGGAGAGGGAATGTGAAATTTTAAGTCATTTCTTTTGGGAGAGACTTGTTTTAGATGCACCCCACCAGTCCCCTTCTCCCTGCACTGTTAAATGTGGGATTATGGGTTACAGGAAGAAGTGGGTTTTTTAGTTGAATTTTTTTAACATACCTTATTATTTAACTGACTATTCTTGATGTAAAATCTTGTCATGTGTATAAAAATAAAAAAGATCCCAGATCCCCCCCCCCCGCCAAAAGTTAAACTTTTGGTCTTGTCATAGTTTCTCAGCTTCAGTTTTTTATTTATGAAAATAAGAATCTACTGTCCAGTAAATTGATGTTTATAATAGCTTATGGTAATACATTTTATTTGTCTGCAACCTTTTTAATCATCAAAGATTAAATTGTTGTGTATGTTTATAATGATGTATATATTTTACTTTAATTGTTTTCTCTTAGCTGGAATATTTGATTTATGTATATCAAAGAACTTTGTAAGCTATAAAGTGCTGTACAGATATGAGGAGATGGTGGGAATAGTAGCAGTCATCCCAAAGCCTGCTCGTTGCCTGATTATATCAGATACATGACAGCTTACAGCGCAGTTTTTGAAAACAGGTAAAACATTACTTTTCCTAGAGTGCTCAAAACTAGTAGTGATTCTTAGGGCTTTTGGAATATTTGCTGATGTTAAAATACAGTTCCTAAAAGAGAGTAATATGTGCAGTTTTATTTACAACTGCGATACTGTCCAAAACTGGGGAAAACATTATTGAAAATGTATAGTATCTCGAATATATTATTGCTTAATTGGCCTTTTACTTACGGATTTTAAACAAGCTTGGGAATCTGTCAGTCACTTCCATGTTCATGTTGTTTTAGTGTTTCTTAACGTTGTTTTTTTTGTTTCCTGTTAACATTTTTGCATGTGTGTTAAACGCCTTCTCTCAGCATTTTCCTCCTTTCCTCTCCCACCCCTCAGCATATTAGGCCTCTTGCTGAGAAGAGAAGTTGTTGCTAATACACAGCCTCTACACTTCTCCCTTTTGCCCCTCAGTTGCTCA